AAAGGGGTCTTGGTGTAGTTGTTGATCAGTCTCTTAAGTTATCCAAGCATTGTGCTGTTGCTAGTGGTAGGGAAAACAGGACTTAAGGTTGTATCTACAGAAATATTCAATGCATGTCTAAAGAGGCTATAATTTCATTGTATAGGTCATTGGTTAGGCCACATTTGGAGTATTGTGTTTAGTCTTGAGCTCTTTACCTTAGGAAGAACATTGAATTATTGGAAAGGGTTCAGAGAAGGGTTCCTAGAATGGTTCCTGGGATAGAGGAATTATCATACGAGGAGAGATTAAGATCTCTGAAATAGTTTTCTCTTGAAAAACGAAGAGTTAAAGAGGATCTGATGAAGGAGTTTAAGATTGTTATGGGAATTGATAGTGTTGATGCATCATCTTTTTTTCATACTTAATGGTGAGAATGGTAGGACTAGGGAACACAAATATAAATTTTGAAAGGGTAAAAGTCACGTTCAGCTAAGACAGTTTTAATTTTCTAAGAGGGTGGTTGGCCTTTGGAATGGGTTGCCTTCGGATGTAACAATAAATTTAGCAGCCCAGTGACAGAGTGGTATATCTGCGGACTTACAACGCCTGAAACCGGCTTTCGATACCCGTGGTAGGCAGAGCCCAGATAGCCCATTGTGTGGTTTTATGTTTAATTACAACCAAACAATAAATTTAAATGTGTTTAAGAGAAAGCTTGATAACTACATGAATTATAAAGGTTGGCTTTGAGTTGTTTTTTGTTGTTGTTTGTTTTTATTTAATAGTTTTAGTTTAGTTAAGAAGAAGGGATAGTCGAGATGGACCAATAGGTCTCTTGTTGTCCCTAAACATTGTTATATAGGGCAATATTATTCAGAGAAAATCATATTTATTGTATTTTTGTCCATTTGTTGTAGCAATATATATATATTAATAATTTTAATAATATTTTAATTGGTATTTTTTGATAATATTTGTAACAAATCTAAGAGACCCTAAAATGATTCCAATGATTACATACTTTGGCCAGTACATGAAAATGTTGTTATTTGTGTTAAAAGTTAATAACATTAGCTTTTGACATAAAACATTAACCATTTTCACTTACAAGTCTTACAGGATTCTGAACTTCAAACGTTTTCAAATAAACGTAAATACGTGCCCATTATAGCATTCATGTAAAAAAAAACAAAAAAAACAATTATGAAATGGAAGTGCTTGGTGATTATAAATAAAGGCCCATTTCTTAGATTATGATATCTTCAAAACTAGCTTGTCTAGGTAAATTATATTTCATTATAGGATCATAAGCTTTGTTCAGAAAAGTCTGGGCTTGAACCAAATGATTGGTAATAGAAATTAATATTTTTAAAACGAATACAGAACACTGAAGACGTTTAAGTCTAGATAAGATTTTATATAATAATGCCTTTCATAAAAGACAAAGACGACCAAATGTTGATAGATATTTGTCTGATTTTTTAGATTATAATCCATTTTTATATTATTGTAATGTTAAAATAATAAATAATATCAATAATTATTATATTACTTGGACTGTACAAAGAGCATATGTTAATGTAAATTACAATCAAAATTAAAAGCTGATGGTCAACTAGAACCTAAAAAAAAGATAATATTTCAAATGTTACTTTAGTCAGATGACTGAATTATACCATCAAAAAACGTAAAAACTTATTCTAACACTAAGAAACATGATTCTTTGGTTCCTTTACTGTCGCACAGCTTTAATATCGTGTATGTAAAAGTAACATTACAGACATGAAAGGAGAGTCGTTTATTATTAAGGCTGCGCGTAGCCTAGTTGCTAGCATGCCCGGACTTTGAACCCGAAAGTTGATGATTCGTGCATGTCGCAGCAAAAACGCTCTCCGTAGGTCGGGTCGGTGGCTGTGCTACAAGAAAGACAGTTAAATTTCACTATTTGGTCAGGCAATAATGGCCCAAGATTTAGTGGTGGATGCTGTTGACTATCTGCCCTCCTCCCGGCGGATCATCGGTAAGTTGACGGATTTATAACGCTAATATCCGGGGTTTAATACCCCGTGGCGAACAGAACGCAAATAGCTCATTGTTTAGCTTTTGGATTAAGACAAACAACCAAAGCATTTCCTCATGTCTATCAGCTCAAAATTAGGAAAGGTTATGTGTAAACATCCCTTTATGAGCCTTATGCAAAAATCATAAAACACAAACATTTACTATTGCGAAGAACATGCTGAAAACACAACAACGCTTTGCTATATCTAAAAATGTTCTGGTAATATCAACCAGAAAAAAAATATAAAAAACGTTGGAAAATTCTGGGGAATGTAAACCAATGCGCTCGACAACTGCAGTTGTATAACTCATGCTATTAAACAAGAGACAGACTTGATATCTAGAATCGAAACATTCTCATACAATGTTTCTTCAAGTATTAACTGTAAAATCTCTGCAAAAACTACTTTTATTGTCGGATGTTTAATTTCTTAAAAATTTTTCCCGCTTAAAGATTGATTGATATTGACAGTTTGAACGTTACGTGAACGTATTTTTCTATCAATCACTTTCAGTGAGTTGGGCGTTTATAGATGAAGGAAGGACAAAAACAACAACAGGATATATATCTAAACGTATCTGTGATGAAACAATGTAACGTATTGAAAAGTATTTAATCCACTAGATAAATCCAGTTCAATAACTTCTATTTCAACTTACGAGGAGTTAAGATAATAAGTTAGTGATGTGATTTAGACAAAACTTGGTTATAGATATTGCACAACGTCTGACACACTTTACCAGACAACGGCGTCACTGTGCCCCTGTAGGGTGATATGACCGTCTTGATGGCGCTCCCCAAGGGAAAAAAATTAATAAAACACATTATTTTTCTAAAGTCAATAGGATTAAGTCGAAATACAGAGTTGAACAATCGCCGCATATAGGTGCTCCGACACTCTTGTTTCTTATGGTGTGAATTTAAAAATAGTAATTTCAGTGTATAATTTAGTGATTTAGGTATTACCCATTTTTACGAAACAAAAATATATTTGCTTACATTAATACATGCAGCGAAATGAGTTACTTTAGCTAGGTGATTTCAAGTTAAATACAAACTCTTTAGATTTTATGGTTTGGAGAGCCAGAAGTAGAATACTTAACCTAACCAAATGACCCGGCATGGCCAAAGGTTAAAGCACTCGACTCGCAATCTGAGGGTCGCGGGTTCGAATCTCCGTCCCACTAAACATGCTCACCCTTTCAGCCGTGGGGGCGTTATAATGTAACGGTCGATCCCACTATTCGTTAGTAAAAGAGTAGCCCAAGAGTTGGCGGTGGGTGGTGATGACTAGCTGCCCTCCCTCTTGTCTTACACTGCTAAATTAGGGACGGCAAGCGCAGATAGCCCTCGTGTAGCTTTGCGCGAAATTCAAAAACAAACAAACCTAACCAAATAATAATTTCAAGGGATTTTCGTGAAAAACAATTATCACAAAACTTAGAACCTTTGATGTTCCTATATTTTATCCTTATTAGATATCTTGATTACTTCATAACCTTAGTTTCTATAGGTTTTTAAATACTATACGATCACATGTAAAATAAGTTCACCCTGACATTGAGGTAACCGTATTAAGCAAAGTGTTTAAAGCATATCTTGAAGTCACGAAAAACAAAATTGTTCGTGATAACCGTATGGTTACTAATGAAATGGGCAACTAAATTATTGTTTCTTGTATTCTCTTTAAAATAAATCGGATATTAAAAAATAAGACGATGCGTGTATTTATTATAATAAAACCTCTACTACATGTTTTATTTCCAGTGTATTTAATATGACAACGTTCTCTCTAATGAATGGCTTAGACGAATAACATTTATTCCCCGAATAGGTATCAGGTTCAAATTATCGGTAGCTTTCAATTACTGCTAAAATTAACATTTGCTATATGTACCTGTGTATTGTAAGGTAATAAGTCGTTTTATGAAGAAAAATACCAAAAACTAACATCCTGGTTTAGCTACAACACGTGGAGATTTGAGGTCTATCATGTATAAGATGAAACGGAAATGTATTATCTATCTGGTAAACGTTTGGAAGATTTAAAAACAATCTTTTATGGATGAAATCTGTAAAAACGCTTGGTTTTGTCATATCTATATATCAGCGTTTCGGACATATCATTTGTACAATATTTTTATGTAATGGAAATACATGTTATCTCGTATTTTGCTGAAAAACTAATAATTTTTCAAGTGCCAATTTAAATAGTATAATATTTCCATGTTTTTAATAATCATGTGGTTACATTTATTAAAGATACCTGTGAGATGTATATTACCCGCTTATAAAACTAAAAGTTAGTATTTTTTTATATTTCAGAAACTTAAAAAAGATGTGTGCCAAAAGAATGTCAACCTCAGATGTTCCTCAGAAAAAAAAAATTATTCCAGGATAAAGTCTGATATCTAAACTATGTTGCCTAAAAGGTAGTCAGTTAACACAGACTAACAATATGGATATTGAAGCAGGATACGGGTACACCAGTATCCAAAAATCAATGTACAATATGAACAAATCAACTATTGAAAATGGCTCTCAAGCAGTAAGAGCTGAAGGGCAATTACGTATGGAAGAAAAGAAATTTCTATTGGTTGTTGAAAGAGGAGATGTTGCATCAGTTAGAAGGTATATTATTCTGTAATCATAGTTAAGCTGAAAATCTTGTATAGTGGTTTGAGGACTAAATAGCCGTAAATGCACTCAAAACATACTACATTCAATGTGATAGATGATACATACACGTGATGTGTTAGCGTTTTACGATATACTGATGAAACAAACAAACAAATAATTTACACCGTAACGATAGAATTTTATGAGTAGCAATCTACTATACTAGTGTTTACGTGTTCCACACGTAAAGTATATTCTGTTCTTTAATATTACTTTCATATACAGCACTGGTTAGAGTGTTTAATATATATGTATTTGTTATTATATTTTCATTATAGAGATTAATTTCCATTTTGTTAGCTTAATAAATGGATTTAGGACTAATCTTAATCTCCTATACTGGCTGTACCTCGTGATATGTTATTAAGTTTATAACCGAAAATATCGATAACAATGCATTCTAATAAGTAGGAAAGTAAGAGCAACACATTTGACCAACTATACTCATTTTTGAGTTGAGTTTTAGTTATGATCCATGTAGGTAGCGTAATCAGAAGTTAATATTAATCATGATCGATAACTATGTCTGTATTCCAGATTAAATGATACAGTAATTTATCAATACTACATTTCTTAAAATGCTTTGATGATCAAAAACTTTCAAACGAACCAAATCTAATTTGAATTTTCGAGAGTGAATTATGATTTAAATTAATGACACTCTCTCGAGAGCGTTAATGAATTTATCAACACTATAATAAATTGTACTGGAAAATGTTTTTGATGAGCACTATTGTACATTTTGAACAAAATTACTTAAAGAAATTCTTAAATATTAATACCCCATTAAATTAATTGAATAAAATTAAGAATTGTGAAATAGCATCCTAAGCTGATCGCATTTTTTTTTAGGTACTTGCAAACAGCAAAGGAAACTGGGAATATTGACTTTAACTGCGTTGATCCTCTGGGTCGATCAGCCTTACTAATGGCTATAGAAAACGAGAACCTGGAAATGGTGGAATTACTGCTAGAGTTCAAAGTTGAAACAAAAGATGGTTTATTACATGCTATTAGTGAGGAGTACGTGGAAGCTGTGGAACTGCTGCTAGACCATGAAGATGCGACACATACACCTGGGGAACCACATGTAAGATACAAATTCGAAAACTACATAATTCATTTTGTTGTATTTAATACTATTTCTTACGCGCTGGAACGTAATTTTGGCAAGTGTATATTAATTTGCTCTAAATTCTAAATTGAGGTACAGTGCACTTCATTTCCAAAAGTTCAGTCATATATATATATATATATATGTATATATAAAATATGCCACTTGGCTTTCTTGTGAGGCCTCATAATTTTATATTTATTATTTCATCAAGTGAATGAAATTTTTGAGTCCTCATTTATTTTCCAAGAGATTATAATGCTTGTTTTTTAGGGTTTGTGGTAGTTAATGTTGTGAGATTAGTGAATTATAATAACACCAAAAAAAAATACTTATATATTCCTTCTACAAATAAAATTGACTTAAACTCTATATTCGTATTATATTGTTTTTAACTAACAAATCGATCCTATTAGCTGTAGGGTATGTTTACCTGAAATAAATAGAGCAAATTTCAAGTGTTTTTCTTGGATATTTAAAAGAGTGTAACACCTGTCTTGTTTTGCAAAGGAAAACCTGTGGCTCATTACTTATCTAACCAATAGATCGTGCTTACTGAACATATCATTATAATGTTTCTTTAAGATAATACGAAAAAGATTATTACATTTTGACTAACCCTGAAAAAGAAGAATCGTTGTCAAAACCTACATATAACGAAACATTTGTAGACAAAACAGAAACTTTTTAATTCTGTTAAAAACTTATTTACGAGAAAAATATGCTGACACTTAGACAGATTATGAAACTTGAACGTTTTATTTTAAAAAAAATAGTTTCATATCTAAATTGGCAGAATAAGAATAACGAATTATACTATTTTTTTTCTAATTTACTGCTAAATATGAAATTGAAACGTATAGTTTGTAATTGTTTGTAAAATACTCGAACGCTAAAACAAATCCAATATAACATGATTCACATGCAAATAGGCTTTACAAAAATTCTCTAAACAAAATGCAGAATATTCAGAATACTTACAAAGAAATATAGTTTTTCTTAGGGGATTGGGTATGACCTAGTGGCTAGTGGGCCGCACTGTCACACAGAAGGTCAGTTGCCACAGAATTCTACTCTTTTACCAACAAATAGTGAGAGTGACCGTACCATATAACACCCCTACGGCTGAAAGGGCGAGCATCTTTGGTGGGACGGGGATTCAAATCCGCGACCCTTAGATTGCGAGTCAAGCACCCTATTTACCTGGCCTATACAAGAAAGAAATCTTGTTTTCGTTTGTTTCAGGTATTCGCTTATAGCTATTCAAGAGCTTTTCGCAATAGCTGTTCATAATGTTGAACTGAGAGACTAGATAGAGAAAGGCAGCTTTTTCATTGCCTCCTACCACCAATTCTGGGGCTATTCTAATTGCATAGTAGGATTTGACCGTTATTTTTATAACGCACTATGGTCCCTAACTGCGAAACGCAAGTGAAATGCATTTGCGAAAATAAAGAAAATCACACTTTTTTTTTTAATTGACTGTTAATCGTAGTGTTCATGGTTCTTGTAACGTCACCCTGAAAACGAATTACGCACTTTGGGCCCGTTGGCGCGATAGCGCTATAAGAATGAAGGTAAAATTCTACTATTCGGCAGTGGGTATTGTTGTCTAGCTGACTTTCCTATAATCGATCAGTTAAGAGTTAGGGATGGCTAAGTGCAGAGCACTCTCTGTGTAGCTTTGCTCGATCTTTTAAAACAAACAAATATTCCTTTGTTAGACGTAATTTCAGTTTTGATTTTCAGCTTAATCTCTTACATACTAAGAATAATATCGCCAATATTGTATATATCTTTTCTGAAAATGTATTTACAAGAATAACTATATGAAGTCAACCTGGGTAAAACCTGTTTATGATCAGATGAAAGCACAGATCCTACCAAATCAATAATATGGAATACTCCAAGACTTATGGATATAAGGACGCATCTAAATCAGAATTTGAATGTTCAGAGAGTGGAATAATAATTTTTATGACACAGTGTAATTTTACTTGACTATGAAGGCGTAAATATTACGATTTTATTGTGCAAAACTGTATTAGGTTGATAGTGAAGAAAAGATCGGAATTCAAAACAATCAGGTATGCACAAAGTAAATATATAACATCAGTATTTCGACAAATAGAATAACGTATTACTCTATATCAGTGGTTCTCAACCTCTTTGATTGGTTTGGTTTGTTTTGAATTTCGAGCAAAGCTACACGAGGACTATCTGCGCTAGCAGTCTCTAATTTAGCAATGAAAGACTAGAGGGAAGGCAGCTAGTCATCACCACCCACGGCCAATTCTTGGGAGAACTCTGAAGGGTTTGTTACGTCTGTTCTAATTACACCCTTGTGGTTCACGACAAGGTATAATGCAAAGCCTTCCAAAGATATACAAAATTGATCATCCCTCGGGACGTATCATGTTGGCAACTGGATCATTTAGTTGTAAGCTTACGAAATGTTTAGTTGTTTGTAAACCACTAACAAACAATTAGTTTGAAGTCCTTGAATCATTTTGATTTCCTAGTGATATGTAATTAGGGACATAATTTATCCAAATCCTTCTAATTATACTACTTGAATTATCCATTAGTTCATTAACTGACAGGTTCTTTCCATTCATGGAACCGAGGAAAGATTTAAACATGATAAGAGTACCGTTTGTTTGTTTTGTTGAATTTTGCGCAAAACTACTCGAGGGCTGTCTGCACTAGCCGTCCCTAATTTTGAAATAATAATCCACAAGGAAGACAGCTAGCCAACACTATCTACCGCCAGCTCTTGGGCTACTCTTTATCAAAGAACAATGGAATTGGCATTCACATTATAATGTTCCCACGGCTGAAAGGGTGAGCATGTAAAGGGACAGGTTTTTGACCCTATGACCCGCAGGCTACAAGTTGAGCACCCTAACCACCAGGCCGTGTCCAGGCCTTTTGGTATTTTGAAACATTCCGCCAGACTTGTATTTTTCTTTTTCTTCTCTGTCTAATTTCACCTACAGTTATTTTAATTAAATGAGAAGAAGTAACCAAACAGAATCATAAAGTTTCTCACTTTTACCAGTCGAAACATCGACAAAAACACAACCAACTGATATTATAGTTTTAAAACGAATGCACTATTGCCTAAAGAAGTGTTATATCATCAGCTTTTCAACAATCGTTTATCGATATATTCAACTCGTGCGAACTCGATAATGAATTCCAAATAAGGATTAGGTCATTTTAGTACTACTCTAGTAATAAATATATATCTCAGAGCAGTTGGTAAAGCGCCATCCTGCGGTCAAGAACACACACAACCTTGTTTACCATTTAAGGCCGTAAGACATTATTGTGTTAATTACCCGTTATTATAAGTCATGAACTTCATTCATTACTTAGAAGCCAGGTATAAAATGATGACACCATGAAACGCGTGCGTTTTCTTCCTATTTTTGAAACCTTCGTAGTTATAAGCTTGTTTTAACTTATGCATTTCAAAATGCTAAAATAGAAACATTTTCCATCTATGTTTGTTGTAGACAGAAAGAAAAGAATTACAATATTCTTACTTATATACATTTATATTATTTCACCACTTTTATATATAACCGCTTGTTTGGTGGCTTTGTTTGTAATTAAGCACAAAGCTACACAATGGGCTATCTGTGCAATGGGTATCGAAACCCGGATTCTAGCGTTGTAAGTCCACAGACATACCGCTGTGCCACTGGGGGGCATTGTTTGGTAGAAAACGTAATGTAATCAGAAATCCTTTAATTTGATTATCAATTATTCATACGAATTATTCAGTTATTTATACTACTGTATAAAGAGATCGATTAGAGTTTCATTGCCATAATTTATCCTCTTTATCCCATTTATATATATATGAGTTAATAAAATCATCGGTCTATTTGACATTCATACACATGTTCACTAGAACCACAAAACAGTTTGTTTCTTTTTTAAAATAAGAGGCTATAGTTGGGTAAGTGTCCATCAATAATAAATCAATAAATTTCCTCATCTAAAAGCATACTTAGCTTTACGACGTTTTTTCAAACATACATTGTTACTACAAAACATAAGATTATCATGTCGTTTTTGGAAGTGATCATTTGTCAGATTAATAAACTATTTCTTTAAGCCTGAATACAAACTTATGAAATTAGTAAACAATTTCTTTTATTGTTACATTTCTTATAAGTCGGAATAAAAATTTTCATTACTTATATCTTATAGTTTTAAGAAAGTCATCCAGTCAGCAGGTTTGTTTGCTTCTAAATCTTCTTCTAAGGCTACACTGTACGTAACTTGACTAAAATGCTGACCTATCACTGTTTTTTTAAAGAGGAAGTACGATAGGGTTAT